TCAAAGCAGTGTTGCAGGGTGAACTGGGCTAAGCCTAAAGACCAAGGCACAGGGCCAATATGCAGTTGGAGGCTGGTTCAGTGTTGCTTGGATGCATGGCCTCTTGGAGTCATAAGCAAGTAGAGCTGGCAAGGACCTCACGATCTTTTTTCCATGTTTGTGCAGCCTAACATAGGCAGCTTGTAGTGTGCTGGGGGTAGGGGTGGCAAGCTCATCTCTTCATCAAACCTCCAGCTTGTGCTGGAGCCTACCTCTTGGTACTACATCGTGGCTTGGCTTAAGCACAGTGTGAGACAGGGAATCTACCACCTTCCAACAGGTCAGTTGCTTCAGCGGGGAATTGCATCTTATTTCCAGCCTGGAGTTGCCCAGCTTCTGCTTCCAGCCTCTGTATCTTGTCATGCCTTTTCTGCTAGGTTAGAAAAGTGTTGGGAGGAGGAGGACCAGGTTGACCAAACCCAAATACCAAGGAGTGAAGGAGGCTGTGGCCTGCTCTGCTCTGGGTACTGCTACAGTTGTAGGCTAAATATGAAAGCTCTCAAGGAGCACTTCGGAACAAAAAACCCAAAAAAGTTTATGTAACCGAACAAAAAGGCTGGAAGCTGTTCCCAGCTGTTGTCAGTTATGCACAGAAATAACAGGCGTTTCAAAGTGCCCGTGTTATGAAATATCCGGGCTCCCCGGTGCGCTGAGTCCCTAGGGAACGCCTGACTCTGGGGCCTCAGCACCACTCTCAAGTGACCAGCCTGGCCCTCGAGGCTTGTGGTCCACAAATAAGTTTAAACGTCTCTGGCTTTGAAAGCACTTCAGTGCTGCTCAGCATCTCTGCTCCCGTTCCCGAGGCATGCAGCCTTCTGATAGCATCTGGCCTAGATTATTTTTACTTCCTTCGTTTAGTCCGTATCATCGCTACAGCCTCTGTGGTAGCTTGATTTCCTTGCTGATAGAGTCCATCAGGTCACGGTCGATCCCGTGCTCTGCCATTATTATTAATTACGATGTTTATGGTCATGCCTCAGGGCCAACTCGCATGGTGCTAGGCCTCATTGGAGATGCAAAAAAGTAATTTCTCCCTGCCTTGAAAAGATCCCGTGGAAGAAGGTTAGGACACCCAAGCAGAGCAAATAGCGCAATGGCAACAAATGCCATGGCCGTGTCGCAATATTTTGGAAGGAAGTTGGGAGATGGGCAGTTTAGCGAGGAGGGGACCTGGTAAGTGGAAAAGGTGTTCTTTTTTTCATTTTTATCAAGAGAACCAGGGAAAAAATGGTTGCATTTTCCAGCGTGGTAGCCAAACTAAAAACCAGTTGTTTTCTTGACCCTTTGAACCTCCAGAGGCCTGTCCTGCTTCTCCAGGTGCTTCTGCTTGAGTCTGACTGACTCCTCTCTGCATATTTTCCCTTGGGGCCATGTAGCATGAGAGAGACCCTCAGTCCCACACTCCCCAGAACGAGGGGTCTCCCCTGCACAGTTTGGAGTCTCGGAGCAAACGCGAGTTATTGGAAGGAGCAACGAGCCAAGGAAAAGGCAGCTGAAATAGATAAATCAGGGGTAGGCAAAATACAGCCCACGGACCGGATGCGGCCCCCTAGGCACTTTCATCTGGCCATGGTGCCCCCCACAGCAAATTGAACCCTACCCAGCCCTTCCATCCGCAAGGGTGAGAGCGAGGCGCACATGTGTACAACCCCCCAACCTGCCCTAATGGGCCTCGCTCCCACCCTCGGGTGGAGGAGCTCTGCCCAGCCAGCTGCTTGGGGCAGCAGGTAGGGAAGCAGCGGGGCTGGTGGGGGGGTGGAGTTGCAGCTGGGTGGAAGCAGGAGCTGCAGGTGCGTGGCGCGAATCCCTGGTGATACGGCAGGCTCCGCTCCCTCCTCTTGCGCAGTGCTGACCGAGCCATGCCTGCACTGGGCACAAGCATCCTGACCTCTCCCCCTGCTGCTGCTGCCGGCGGCTGGGACTGCAGTCTATGTGGGGAGTGTGGGGGGTCCCTAGACTCCCCACCCTCCCTCATGCACACCCTGCCCCCACAACCCCCATAGACATATACATACACCCCAACATACCCTATGCCCCCCTCTTCTGTATACAGTACATAGTCACAAGTCATGCCAAATATTTTTTGTAATAAAATTAAAATGTATTACAGTAGGTGCCTGACTTCTAGTGTATGATTTTTTTTTTTTTCTGGTTCTAAGATGGCAACCCCCTCTCCTAAAATGAGTATTTGGGGGGGAGCTAGGGGAGCAACTTCCAGTGGCAAAGGTCAGGGGATAGGGGGCAGGACTTCTGGTCCCAATGTGGTGACCAGGGGGCAGGGCAACTGTGAAGGGGCAGGGCTACCTATGCGGCCCCCAACAGCTTGCCAAAACTTATTAAGTAGCCCTCTGCCCAAAATAATTGCCTGCCTCTGAGGGAAACCCTATTGCATATAAGAAAAAGATCATTCACAAGGGAAGAGTCGTCATTACCCAGAAGGTACCGAGAGCTTAGGAAGATATTCCAAAGGAACATTTTTTTTTATCGACCTATTAAATATGTAGGTAGACTTCCCAAGAATATTGGGCGCAGACAGAAGTGACATTTGTCACATGACTGACCCCCTGCAAACGCTCTACAGCCGTGCCATGACATGCGTGCATGGCTGCAGAGGGCTTTAAGTGGCCTATCGTGTGACAAGTTTGCTGGGGTTTAGCTGGGGTCATCTATCTTTCCTGCCTACGCAGGGGGTCGGACTCGATGATCTATTGAGGTCCCTTCCAACCCTAACATCTATGAATCTATGAAAGTTAACCCTCATCAAATGAGGGATCAGATTAAGGGGCTCCACTTCTGGGAACTTAGGGAACTTCTGAGAACTTCTCTAGGGTCAATCTGTCATGTGATTGGGGCTGAGCTGGTGCGATGCAGTCCAGCCCTGCCCCTGAGGTTCCCTGCAGAAAGGGAGGGACAGAGGGGAAGGGGAGTGAGCTGTATGCTGGGGTTTGTCCAGCCTGAGCTGGAGGGGCAGGGGGCAGAGCAGGTGGATTGGAGCCCCCCCAGCCCCTACCTTCCCCAGCTCAGGCTGGGTAAGCCCACAGTTCACTCGTCCTCCTTTCTCCCTCCTCCCTTCCTGCAGACAGCACTGGAGCTGGGAAGGCGGGATGGGGCTAGGGAAGAGAGGCTGCAAACAGGCTCTTCGTGCTCGATCGGCTCCAAAGTGGAGCATGATTTCTCTTCCCCCACCCCTCCCAACCCAACAAGTCCACTTCTGTTGGCTCGGAGGGGGGGGTGCTTTAATTCATGGCGCTTTAAATGTAAAGCGCCATGAGTTAGAGCGGGGGCCTGCATGTCTGTCAGCCCCCATTGTTGCTCTTAAACTAATCTGTGTTATCCATTCTAAATGTATTAATTATGCTATTGTACATCATCTTGTTTGTACTGACCATACAAACAGGCAGACGTGTAACATGCTTGGGGTTGGTAGACTTTGAAATAGATGTCTGGTATGCTTGGCATTTTGCTCCTGGGAAGTAGAAAAGGTGCTCAAAAGTATGTGAGAATTGCCAGAAATAGGCAGGAGATGACAGTTTGGCTAAAAAGCGCTTGATTGACAACTTATTGCTTTGGTGGGCCTGACTTAGACTTTGCATCTGGCTGCATCATGAAGGTGTCAAGCAGTTGTGGACTGCACAACTTCAGTCTCAGGCCCGTTCAGTCGTACAGTACTTCAGTCTCCAGTGCAGCATTTGGCAGTGAATTGGCAGTACAGGCACTAGTTGAAACAAAGACATTACCAGTAATGTATGGTGTATCCCTATGGTAGGTTCAGATGCTAGACATCTTTGCTGACTAGCTACAGACTGCATGATGACCCTGTCATAAATGTTATTGCAGACTATAGTTGAGACTCCAGTTGGAAAAGTTCCCCCTTGGACTATTCTACAAGAAAAAATGGTGTGATCTGTGTTTGCCAAACTCAGATTACAAGTAAAAAGTTGGAACACAAAACTCATTTAAATAAACTTGAAGCACTGTAAAATTGTGTGGGTGTGTATATAAAATATGGATGCTTTGTTGTTTGGATATAAAATAAGCATCCAAAAAATATGTTTAAAGCTGAGCAGGTTAAAGGAAGACAGTCCCAGAAATCAGGTTGCCTCTGATTTTTTTTCCACCCCCCACCCCCAGAGCCTGTAATATTTTTATCACGCTTGATAGGTTCAAAGTACAGCGCCAGCTAATTTTAGTGGTAGTTCAGAGCACCCATCTCTGCAAATCTAGCCTGAGAGATGTTACATCATGCCCTCCAAAAATGAGGAACAGTCAGTTAGTGGTCAGCTGTGGAAATGTTGCCAGCCGCACATAGGAACATGTGGGAGAGGCAGGGCTAGAAGCCAGCTCTGCTCCTGGGTGGCATTCGGCTGCCTTAACCAGGCAGCTGGCCTTTTTCTTCCTGCAGTTCACTTGCTTCACTCATCACCCGCCTTCCCACTCCAGCCATAAACGAGGCAGGGTCTTACAGACAGCAGCCTCATTGACCACGTGGCTCTGAGACATTCCCAACCATGGGCCCGAGATCCTGGGAAAAATAGGATGTGCTCATACAGTTAAAGACTCAATGGCGGCCTCTTTTTACATACCCACGTGGGAGCCAAGTTACAATTAAGAAAGAGGGGACATAAAATGAAGCTAGTAGGTAATAAGTTTAAAACTAACAGAAGGAAGCTCTTTTTCACACAGCGTGTCATTAAAGGGTGGACCGCATTCCCACCAGATGTGGTGGAAGCTGACAGTTTAACCAGACTCAAACAGGGATTGGGCACATGCTTAAAGGAAAGGAGCATCAGGAGCTATTGAATGCGGGAGTGAGGGGCACGGCCTCTGAATCGGAGCTTCCTAGACATGAAACACTGGAGGCTACAAGTGGAAGAGGAACGGTGGAAAAAACCTTGGCCATACCCTGTTCACCCTCCCTTTCAGCATGCGTCCTCTGCCACTGTGCACAGGAGATTGGGCAAGAGGGACCTAGTAAATGGTAGTTATGTTCTTCCATTAAGATGATGTGGGCAATCCCAAGCCTGGCAGGAACTAATGTCTGAGTTGAGAACTTAACGTTCTTGTAACACAGATGTTTGGATGTAATGATAAATTCACGGAGCGTAACCGACGGCTACCATTGTCTTTTTGTTGGATTTAGAAGAAACAGAAAAACAACACAAAACAGAAGCCTGATCAGACAGAAATTATAAGTTATGCAGTAAATCAGCTGAAAATAAATGTCACTTACATTTTTTTTTCCCTCATTTCGTCTGGGACGGTTTAGACAGGGACAATCTTGCCTCAAGGAGTGGGTTGAACTAGAGGTTCCTTCCAGCCTTGCTTTTCTGATACTGATGTCCTGGGGAGAAATGTGGATATGCATGTCAGTGAGACCACGTTGCACAGCACCGATGATGCTTTGCAGTGGGTTTCCAGGAAGTCGTCCCCGCAGCGGGATTGGATTTTTCCTTGCTGTGAGGTGAATCCAAAATAACTCCCCTGTGGTCAGAGTTGCAGTTGGTTGTTTAAACGCTAGAGAGGGGAGTCAAACTGCGGTGCAGTCAAAAGAGATGGAGGGAGATTATGAAAATGTTTCCATTTCAAACCACCAAGACAGCTGATAACTCATTTCATCTCGCTGTTTGTTGCGTGCCTTCAAAGAACAGAAGATGCCAAGCGGCTTCCCACACATCTGCGTTGGCTGTGCTCTCCTACATAATCTCCTAGGGTAATGTGTATCCCTACCTCAACAAGGGTTGCGTAAAACAAAATTGGAGTTCAGTTTTGCCTGCAAGGTTTAAACCTGATTTTAAACGAGCTGCACAGGAGGTAGGAAAGAGCAGCCTCTGCCATTGCAAAGGCCAGATTGTGAACAGTGTAAAAGCAATTCAGGTGCAGGCAGGGACCAGGTGGGATTTTTGAAACCTGCCTCAATATTTGTCTCCTCTGAGTTGGGGGGAAAATCCCACTGATGCCTGTCTTCAGTTTTAGGTAACTAAATAGTTTTAAAGTCTAGCCTGACATAGGGGCAGATCTGTGGGGGCTAGTGGTATGGTTGCACCCCCTTTGCTGCCGGATCGCTGCCAAGAGCTCCTGTCTCGGCTGCCGGACACATGCACAAGGAAGCCTTGCCACCACTTTTCACTGTCCTGGGTTCTCTACTGGCTTGATACAGTGCCCTTTGATCTCCGTCAGAGTCTTTCCATCGGCCCAGTGACAGAGGGGACTCTCATGGAATAATTTTAATGTCTGTATATTTGCCCTTGAAAATATCCTTTTCTCCCCTGCTCTGTTCTACTGGGAAACACCACCCTCCTCCCCAGAGCTCGCTGCATTTCAGCGAGGGCTGAGTGGATCCTTCCACGTGCAGTTTGGGGGTAAAATATCCTTTGGCTCATTCAGATTTGGTTAGGGACTTGCTTTTTTTTCCCCCCATCCAGCTTTGTTGTCCCTCCTTTTTCTGAGAGTGGCTTGGTGGGAGTAACTGCAATGAGACCAAACCTGGACGTTTACCAGACCCAGGAATCCTTGCCTTTCAGCTCTCGGCCTTATCCGTAAAGCAGGGTTTCCAAAGCCCGCACCAGCCATCTCCGTGTATGTTCAGACACTCAAATAACACGAGACTTTTGGGCTTTGGTCCCTGCGTACAAACCATATTCCCTGGGGCTGGTAGAAGAGGGAGTTGACCTGAGGGCCAACTTTGCTAGTGGCATTTAGCTCAAAGCTGACTGCTTTTGTCTCTAGCATGTGTTGGGGTCTCCTGTGGACGCAAAGACCTACAGCCACCACTGCTGCTTTTCCTTAAATATGTCCTTTCATGTGCCTTGTTCATTCCTTATCAAAGTTATTTTTGGAAGATAATATTGACTGAGCCTTTTGAAAAATCCCCCCCACACTGTAGCTTTCATCTTGACTTCTTGATCTTTCCCGCTCCGCATCCCCCTCACCTGGCTTAGATGGTTTTTCCTCGCCACAATCACGGATTTCTTTCTAACGACCAGTTTGCTTTCACTCGACGAATCCTAAAGGTAGATGTTTTGAAACTGCTTCCTCTGGCGTGCTGTGTTTCCTCCTGCTTATCTTCTTTTTTTCCTATCTGGTAGCACCATTGCTTCCTGAATTTGCACTCAAGCAAGAACTCCATTTGAGTTTTGTGGGAGTTTGACCTAAATAAGACAGGAGTGAAAACTAAGGCCTTGAGCTTGTGTGATTTGGTGTGGGGAAGGCATAGTCCTAGATGCAAAACTTGCACCATTTGCATAACAATAGTAATTACAAAATAACATAGAACATTTTCATAGGATCCTCACACACACCCTTCCCTTAATTTTTCTTTAGGCAAAATTCGGTGGGCAGTCTCTTGACTGAGACAAAATTGGGGACAGTATGTAGAGTTTGCAGTAGTATCTTCCAAAGTGCACGAGTGATTATTGGAGCACAAGTCCTATCAAAAGGTTTTGGGATTTGTGTCATTGCCACTGATTTGTGGATGGACCATCTTAAATGCAGGTGTCTCCTCATCTTGTTCACACTGTACAGATGTTGCTAAAAGATTTACAACCCAAACTTTCATGGATATCTCCATTGTGGATTCCATGTGTGCGAGTAATCGGCTTGCACCATAGAGGCTGGGCAGCTGGTGCTCACCAGTGGATCTATAGCTAGTGAGCTGCACCGTGCACTTTCAGGTTTGGAGCATACCTCCTGAACCTCATCCTGAAGAATTTGTGGATGTTTAACTGGAACAATCTGGCACAAGATCCTTAACACTGCAAGTGGAGAGATTGTTCATTTGTTGTTATTCCCACGAGCAAAATATGGTGCAAGTTTAGTATTTTGAATCAATTACAGTTGGACTGTAAAGAAGCTGCTTAAATACATTTTGATTTCTTATCTCTCTGCATGTTTGGTGAAGGCATGGTTTGGAGTTTGTGTTGTTCTCTGCAGACATTACGACTTGACTTGTGTTTTCCATATTCCTGTTTGCAATGAGGCCCAGGCGTGTAGGATTTATTCAGACAAAATGTTTATGGGAAGGCACTGGGCAAAATGCTGATGGAGGAAGGAGTCAAAAGAACGGTGTTGCCCAGGTATAGTCCTGCCTGCATAGGGATGGCATGACTGAAGGCTGGCGTTAACATGCACTGGGGCAGCCTTCAAAAAAAATACAGGCCACCTCCGAGGGAGGTGCTGGCTTTGTGGGGGCTTCAATAGGTGACCTGGAGCCTAAGTTTAGGTACTCCAAGTTGAATATGTTGGCCTGAGTGCCCACTATATAACTTGGCTAGTCCCTCATGCAGAGGAAAAGCAGTATGTCTCAAGGGAGCTGGACTTCTCTGGGGCTTGCCCAGCAGCCTTGTACCTGTATCACAAATATAGCCTGGCAAATCAAAGAGGTTTCCCACACGCCCCTTAAATGTCCATCTTAAAATCTTTACCACCACTCCAAGACAAGACATCCAAATTATACTGATGGTGCTACCAAGGCACCAGTCCCCCAGCATCTCCAGTGCTTAGGGCATACCGTTTGCCTCTTCGTGCTTTTTCTCACGTCATAACATTTGTCTGAACTTCTTACAGGGTGATCAAGGTCGAGATGGAGCTGCTGGCCCACCTGGTCCCCCCGGGCCACCAGGTGCAAGAGGGCCCCCTGGAGATACAGGAAAAGATGGCCCCAGGGGACCACAAGGCCCTCCCGTAAGGAACAACAAATACAAAGAATTTGCTTAATAAGATGGATAATACCCACAGTGCACTTCAGC